GTAATTAGGCTCATAACAAGACAATTGGTAAAGATTTTTGAAGTTTTAAAATTCAGGCTATGGAAGAGGGTAATATCAACAAGTGTGCTAAATTTCATGCTGATATTGGATTAAATAGCCATCAAGACAAAAATGAGTTATTTGTGTAGAAAAAGGTGTTAAACATCCGATTTAGGCTAAATTAGACAAATGCGAGTTTTGAAATAACGGGGGCGCTCTCTAACGGTCAGTGCTACCTTAATGTGTTGCTTTGAAAGCTTGATAATACTGAGAAATAAAACGACTACATGAATAATCTTACTACTGCATTTTAACATATTCTAAATTTAGATTATACTTGTGATGGTATAGAGACAAATTATGCAAGCACATTTAAATAAAATATGTTCTTTTGTACACTATGTTTTATCATAAGGTTCGGTTAAAGTAAATACGTGGTGTGGCCATAATCTTAAACTATTACAATGCTGCTTACCTAAAATTTGCACGTGTTCCATATGATATACACTAAAACTACTTTTTCATAGTTTCGGTGTATAATTAAGAATAACTGAAACCATACTATTACATAAAACGTTTTACGTGACAGTTTTTTTTAAGTAAAGACGTATTTAGATTTTTCCCGCCCAAGACCTGTGCGGAAATACGTCACAGCTAGTAATTTATGTTTACGCCCACAGCTACACAATGAGCTTATTTGTTTGTAATTAAGCACAAAGTTAAACAATGGGCTATCTATGTTCTGCCCACCACGGGTATCGAAACCCGGATTCTATCGTTGTAAGTCCGCAGACATACCGCTGTGCCACTGGGGGGGGGAGTTGTGGAAGATTTTGATACATGTATATCTTATTAGTTTATATTTATTAGTTTATCTTGAAGTTGACTGATTTTTATTCGTTGACTGTAATTTGACTTAGAAAAGAAATGTAGCATTTTAGTGGTCTTATTGTGGATTAGTAGTAAGTTTACGAACTTACTGTGCTAAAACTTTGGAGTTCATTCCTCGCGGTAAACAGAAGGCAGATAACCAACCCACTGTTAACAAAGCATTTTAGTGGTATTTTTTTTCCATTAAGCTTTATATGTAACTTCTATATATTTAACTAAGTCATTGTGAGAAGGACTGCCCCCCCCCCCCTCTGGGTTACCCAGCGATAGATTTATGTGATTATAATATTAAAATCCGTAATCGATACCCACAGTAGGAACAGCGCAATTAGCTCATTGTTATTAAGCACATTCACACCTAATAGGATAAAAGACGTATCTTTGATAAACGAATATAATAATATTAAAAAGATCTCAATAATTCGCAAATTCAATCACGTCAAGTTTTGAAAAAGAAGGTTTGACGTTTTGAACTGAAGCAAAAAATGTGAAATTTATCAAGGAGTTTAACTTAATTTTAAGTCGATTAGAATCTTGAGTGAATGCAAAAAGTGGAATATCGTTTGATCATATACTGTAATTTTTCTGCTTAACGAAACTGGTTTGCAAGATTTGTTTTCAATACTTTATCTATGCCTCTCTCTATGCTTCTCAAATTCGACACTTTCCGAGTAATGTCGATTCCGAGTGGTCATCAATGAAAAGAAATACAAACCTGAGAAAGTTTAGAAGAATAACTAACGCTCTTAGTAACGTTACATATGGTCATCTGTCAAAAGCTACTGTAAAAAGTATTCTACTTTGTTCTGTCTATAAAAAAGCTACTGTTTTAACAATAACAAGTATTAGGACAAACATTTATCGCTAAATAAAAAAGGCAATGTAGGGCTGACTACTGAACCTGAAAATAAGAATCAAAGAAGATAAGAATGGAAGTGGACATATCACTTGATCCGGTTAATGATCATATAGCAGACTAAGCCGTCCCAACTTTACATGGAAAATAAAATCCCTACATTACTGGCTTCCCCACTTTGTCTATCGAAAGCTTGGCGTTTCAATAGTCTCAGCTTTCATCATCATACCTTTCTTTTAGCTAAATTTAAAATATTACTTTTATGACTATTTTGCAGTAGAGTAACATTTTACGACTGGAAATTCTGGCTCTATTTGTTTTGCCATTAATGTAGGGATTTAATTCTCCACGTTAAGTCGAGACGTCTTAGGCTGCGATGTGATCATTAGCCGGATCAACTGATATGTCCACTCCTATTTTTTTCTTCTTTGAACGTTATCAAGTTACCAAAACGTTCCGATTCAAGGGTTGGCCCATGAAAGATCGTGTAACCTTTGTAAGCACCCGCTCATTTCCCATCTATTTGTGTAGATAAAAACTAATTTATCCACCTATGTTTAATTCATATCTATGGATTGGACAAGAAATGAAAGCAGCCACTAATTTCAATCGTCATCATGGTTAACATCCTATACAATCACGTGTGACTAATTATTAATTTATTTATTATTAATACTATTATTAGATATTAATCACCAATTAAACTAGCAGAAACGCTGCCCTACGGGCGGCTGTTTGTGCTAGTAATTATTAATCGTAGTATTCATACCTCACTGGAAAAAAAATTGATAAAAAATTAACATTTTCTAAAAAAGGATTTTTTTCTGCCAAGTACTGCACGGGAAAAGTGTCGGATTGTGCTCTTTCGCCATACGCAACTAATTGCACCAAAAATGATTCATTGTAGAGAGCTTAAAATTTTCATAAATGTTACCGATATAAACTCTGTAATGATTTTATGTGATAAAAGTGCTACCCTTTATTAAAAAAAAACAATAGTTTTTTAAGAAATCCAGTTTTTAGTACTACATTCAAAAATTACACCAATAAAGATATAATCAAAACTTCACGTAAAGTCCTAGTGAATGTTGTGTTCTTGTTATGAGGAGAGTACGTTTATTCTATTATAAAGAAATGGTTGTTGCACATACCACAGTTATTTTTCCAATTGGCTGAATCTTGAATACCCATAGTGTGAATTTTGTTTTATGGATTTTTGTTTGTGGTGCCATTCAATAGATGGTGAAGGAGTTTTGATTACACACATAGATACTGACATCCACGCTACGTCCTTTATAGTAAGATTCGTGGGGCTTTCATCTCAGATTGGCCAATACAGCTGCCTTTCTAATAAGCAGCAGCAAGATCGAATCCGGGATCTTGCCAGTAGCTAGTCCTCCTCGTTTCTACCTTATATAACACTGACTCCTTTAAACCTCCAGACTTCAGCACCTTAACAAAAACTTTAAAACTTACATGAATAATTTGTTTGAAGCTCTCATCTATTCGTATTGTTATGAATTTATTTCTTTATATATGTATTCATATTATTAGTCACCAACATTTATAAAACAATAGCTATTACACAAGAAAATCGTTTTGGCACACTATTTATTCACTATCAGCATACACTGTTTGACTTTAAGCAAGCATCAATTTTATCTCAATCTTACGTTTACTCTTACAAACTTTCTATTTTATATTATCTATCAATAACCTTACAAACTCTTGTAGATCAATTTATACATAGAAACAACATTTCTCTTTAAAAAAAAAAGAAACTTTGTGAAAACTAATATGCAAGATTCACTAAATTAATATGATTGAGACAAAGTATTAAGTTACAATTTGAGGAGAAACATACTTGAAATAAACATTGCTGATGGAATAAAATAAAATTGAATAAATTCTTCTTCTATCACTTTTCAGTGTATACTTTAGAAAATTCAACAAATATGATTTGGCCAAGTCTTTTCATACATATATACAGACAAAAAGCAGTTATTGATCTTAAGACAGTTTGCACTATGTCTGTTAAATTCTCCAAAGCATACACAGAGTCTGAATAATGACTCTTCTGATATATAAGGTTTACGAGATACCAGCATTACCCGAGAGTCACGTTATCTTATGTAATAACAAGTGAGCCACAGTTCTTCCCTGTGACCACATCTTTTACAGTTCATTGACTAAAAAAATAAATCACTTCTACCCCAATAATAATAACAAATACAGTAAACAAAAGCCACAAACCATCAATGTGATTACGATTTTTCTATATATATACAAACCAAAAACACAACTTTTTCCCACAGTATCAATTCATTGGAGGAAGAGAGCCGAAATCTAATAGTTGTAAACATACATATTGCTGTTGAGTTTGTTTGTTAAATCACTACTAACAAAAAGAGACTCACTAAAATCTTTAAAGAAATTTCAGATATACGAGCCAACAACTCAAATACCGAGTGAGGTACATGACAACTTTTTACCTATTTAACTATCATTTTTACTTATTTGAAAAATTATGTATAAAACTTAAGTTACACATTGAAAAATCCTTATATTACAAGAAAATAAAACAGTTTCATATATGTGTGTACACACACACACACATAAATGCTCCTTTCTTTCATATTTCATTTGTTTCAGCATGTAAAAAGAAGTGGCTTTGTTTTCTGTCTTTTCAACCATTTTATTAAACAAAATGTTATGTAAATGATAATCATTGATTACTAAGTAGTAACTCTTCACAGCTCTTATAAAACTATCAGCAAGTAAAGCGATTCTTTAAAAATCTGTATTGATAAAATTACAACTAACATTGTTCAAATATCACAGTGCCATTACTCCAGTTTTTTACAAAGCCATTTCAGTGTTTATTGTTGTTGTAAGTGAAAAATATATTTGTATTTACCCTGCAGGATTGTATGATAATCGGTTATATTTAGTCTTGTAATGTACTGTTTAAATGAAAAAAATAATTAATAAAAACATTTTAAGTTGTTTTTAAACTCAAAGTGGCAGAAACAAGTTTTTGCTACATCTAATTTTTGATTAAACTTATTTTTAATTTTTTTTTCCCAAAAAATTTTTAACTAATCTACCAAAGTAAAACATTTATATTTTGACATGAAACAACACTGGGCAATTCAACCATGAAAAGTGAAATGTTCATAACTTAAATAACGGTAAATACACTTTCAAATACTTTTAACACAACCATCTTATATTTGAATATTTTATAGAAATGATCTGATTTTCCAAATGCTGTTAACAAACCAGTACTAAAATCTTTTTATAACAGTTTTTCAATCTGTAAAGTTTAGAGACACATTGTAACAAATAAAATTTACATTACAGTTTCTCTAAAACAGGGCATAAATTTAACATGATGTACATATATATTTCTTTGGTAATAGTTTATAAAACCATGAAATAACTAGTAAAATCTATAAACATAACAATTCCCGATTCTACACTAATGGATCTATTGGTTCTTTCTAGTTAGAGCCTTAATAGCTGCATCGGGATGAACACATTCACAGAAGCTACAACAATGCATCATTTAAATTGTTAGATAAACTTGCTGAGCTCACATTAGTTGACTGTTGAGGCAACACAGATACCCAGTGAGTAAATTCTAAGTAGCCATGGGGAACAACTTGATTTTCTATATCAGACAATCCAGTTTCACAAAGTTTTTTACTACTTGTTTCATTTTGTAAATGAATACAATCATTCTGGGATCTAGTTTCTTCGAGTTCCCATGTTCGATCATTGAAAATTAAAGCACTACCTTCAACATCAATGTGTTTTCTTGGCAAAGTTAAACCTTGTGACAAGAACATTCCTGGTTCTTGCTTCACACAAACTTCTAACAATTCTGGGTGTTGACGTTTAAGTTGCTTTCTTATCTTATCACGCTCCCTTTCTTTTTGTCGGAATACAGGATCTTGCCTTTTTTGTCTCAAACGTTCTCGCTGTCTCTGTCGTTCTTGAGCTCGGTACAAAGGATCAAGTCTTCTCAGTTTAAGACGCTTTCGATCAGCTTCTCTTTCACGGGCCCTAATTTCTGGATTCTGCCTCTTTAGCTGTTTTCTCTGGCGGTCACGTTCTCTTTCTTTCCGACAGTATTCAGGATCTTTTCTTTTAGTACGCATACACTGCATCTGTTTCTGTGCCCGTGTAAGATTTAGGGACCAATCTGATTTTTCACTTCCAATTACTTTCACAGAAGTCTCCACTGTATCTGCTAACTCTGTTTCTCCAGAATTCAGATGAAAAGACTGATCTTCAAGATGGTTGGATAAATTTATCATTTGATGCTGGTTATTTGCTTGAAGATGGTTAATAACATTTTCACAATTTGAGTAAAAACTTTGCGTTCCTACTTGGGGCAGTTGGTTGTACAAAGTAGGGTCATGTGCCCACTGTAAACTCTGCAGTTGCTGAAGATACATCAGCAGTTGAGTCTGCCTCTCCACAAACTCCACACTCTCATCTTTACCAGAATCCAAGTCAGAAGGATCATTCCCATTACTAAATATATATATAATTTCTATAAACTACATCCTTTGTTAATAAGCAGTTTTCTCTCTTTTTTTACTATTAAAAATTAAGAAAACACAGATAAAAATAATTTCAAAATATATATGCTTTTCGACATAAATTTTGCAGATAAACACTTTCCCATACAGTAACTCTGTAACTATAGACATATCAATATCACTTGAATGACACAAACTGGTTTTTATTAACATGAAATGTCATTTTATATTCATAAAAGTCACAATGAAAGCATTCTATGTAACTAAAATGTTCTACATGTAATTCAAATATCTTCTTGTTTATTCCTTTTCTCTAAGCAAATAAAATCTGTAACTAATCAGCTTAATACAATAGAGTTAAAAAACATACCTTTGAATACTAAATATGGTGTCTTGGTAATTTCTTTTGATGTTTGAAACACTTGTTTATTTTTTACATTTTCTGAGGTTATCCATGCAAATCTAATCAGTTTAAAATAATTATTTCAAACGTATAGATTAAAAAAAACTGCATTTTATGTTGATTGTTGACCCATCTTCATGATCTCATCTGTCACCAAATAACAAAGTTATTATTTTCCAACACTGAAAATAGATTTCTGATAGATACTTACCTATTCTAACACAAAAGCTTTTTCCAATCTTAATCTGCCCTCTATACATTAAAAAAATTGTATTCCTGCTTGACTCGCTACCTTTTATACCCCCCCCCCCTCAGTTTAAGCTGCTTATTTAGCATGCATAGTGCATGGGATGACCTTCCACCAATAGGAGCATTACACACATTCCTGGAGCAGCTGGTTCCCTCTGTATTACATTTTATGTACCTCACTTCCAAGATTACACACACCAGAAAATAGAAAAACACCAAACTTGAAAGGAAATGAGGGAAGTGTAGGACAAGAGGTAAGTTCTATTGGAAATCTATTTTCAGTGTAGGAAAATGATACAAAAGTTAGAACCCCCACATTGAGATGGTGGAGGGACCAGTATAACATAGAAGTAAGAAATTCCCCATGGAAAGTGTCCACAGGAATTGAACAGTTGTGCTCAAGAACTGAATGAAAGCACATATCAGGTGGACCACACCACTTCTGAAACAGGTATGCCCTTCATCATTGAATAAGTGAGGTGTCGTGAAACAGGCAGCATTGGGGACCAAATTACAAATGAAGGGCAATGAAAAACAGTGGAGCAAGACTCTTCCCAACCCCATTCTCGGTATTATGAGGTGGAGGACAGAGCTAAAGAATCAACTGAGTATAAACATTGTAACATGGCCAGGGAAGTGGACCGAAAACAATATATATACACGAACCCCAACCACATGTAAACAGAGTGCCATACTGCAAGCAACCAGAATTACAACGAGGAAGTAAGCAAACAGCAATCACCAGCAAACTTCCACATCAACAACAGGAGGCAAGAAGTATGCCAAACTGAACATGGAATTATGGGGCAGTGGTTGTGAATCTCAATCAACCATAAGAACAGGGATTCATCCTATAGCTGGAATTATGAGCAGGAAAAAAAACAAGATCCACTCAACCATAAGAGCAGGGAAGAAAACCATGTGTATCCGGAATAATTAGTAGGATGTGGAACATCTGCTCAACCGTAGGAACAGGATATCTTATGTGCCCAATTGGCATTACGAAGTGGATGATGTCTCCTCAACCCAACCATAGGAGCAGGTAAAAGTCATCCTGCAACTGGAATTATTGAGACAGGGAGGCATCTACTGGTCTCAACAGTAGGAACTGGTTCATCTCCCTCCCACATCAGACCTCCTGCAACAATAACCTAGGAGGAAGAAGGAGAGAGGGTTCCCAGTTTCGACCTCTTTTCAAGAGAGTGAAGAGAGAAATAATATTCCTATATGCATGCTACACTCTTGAGGAAGCCTTCATGGTCCACCACCCCAATGGCTAGGAACTGGAAAGTGGTAAGGACTCTCAAACTGTACTTGAGGAAGAGAGAGTAAAAGGCAGTGGGGGAATCCGGAGGAAAGACACAACAGCGAAAGTACAATGTATGACCTCAAAACCTTATTTTGAAAAACAGACTGTTCCCAATTTATTCAATCGAGGAAGCAGCAGGGATGGGTAGAAATCCTCTTCTGCTTTACTCATGATAGTCCAAGAGTGACGGTCCACCAAGTATGGAACAGGATGAGACAGATATAAACATATATATACCACTAGGTAAGCCACCAGTGATTTGGTGGAACACCCCGTCTCAACAATGTGTGTTACAACTGTAAAGGGAGCAGGTGCAAGTTTTATTCTTAGTATTGGTAAATTGAGGCATTCCTGACCAGGCAACACTCGCTACTAAGTGGGATCCGAATACATAACAAAAACATAAAAAAAGACCCTTGTAAGAAAAGCAAATAAAAAAAATGCCCAAATTAGTCAATATTCACCAGAGAAGGACAGAGCCAATAGTGCGAGTAATGAGATACAAAAGTATGAGGAGTAATCCACATTCCAGCCTGGACAATCTCTTCCAGAGGAACGATGAAAATAAGCCATCAGAGACATGGTGATATGTCAAACTTGACAAGAGGAGGCATGATAAAGAAAGCGCCCTTTGGAGAAAAGGGAAGAAACCACTGATCCATAGAGAATGTCTCCCAAATGTCCAAAAAGTAGTGGAGCATGGCTCTACAGGACCTGATCCCACAGGCTAGTCACTGATTGCCAACATTCGTGATAGGCAAGGTGTGGCTTGGGAGAACATGAAAGAACAATAAGATCAGTAGAAGAGGAGGAAAAAGGTTGGGATATACAATTTGCCACTGAAGATAGGGAATTAAGCAACCTGTTCACATCAACCCGGGACACTAAACAATTGGAGCGACCCCCAAACACAGTATTATGCAAGGATGGAGCAGCCCATAAGTCCCTGAGTGAAGATGGAGAGAGGCAAACCTCACAAGCACTGCATCTCTCTTCAACAGCAAATAAGCCTGATAAGCAGGGAAAGAGCAGACGAAGAGCGTCTTGCCAATGTTGATAAAAAAAAAGTGACCCAAATTCCCCCGAAATATCATCAGGGGAGCAATGAAAGGCCTCAGATAAATGGTGCATAGAAGAGAGGTAACATAAAATATTAGTAAGGGTGAGATGAATCACCAAAAAAGGGCTTGAGAAAAAGAGACTGAAGTCTCAGGATTAGAGCCCCAAAGAGGTAAAAGCAGACCTAAATGCTGAGAATCCAAATAAGAACTGGCAGAGCAATGAAAGGCCAAAGCATGTTGTTCAGAAACATGAGGGAGGTCAAGGCATACTAAACCCCAAAAGAAGTTAACAGAAAAATCGTTGAACATGAATCTTTATATCCAGGGAAGGAGAAGCATCATAGAAAACAAGAGAAACATGCAAAATACTGCAAACCAGATAATCAACAGTAGGAATGGTGTTGAAGGGCAAACTTCCTCCAAATGAACCTGAAAAGTAGACATAGCAAATGAAGGAGCAGGAAATATGTGGTCAAAATCATCATCCTCAGCTCGAAGGGGTGTCATCCCATGTGGAGAAGAAGATGAACCAGGACCCATGTAGGAAGCTAGTTCTTACCTAACTAAGGCTTATACCACATCAGCTAATAGCGTCAATCCCGTGGCTTGGGTAATAGGATTAATCATGTCTCCAGACAAAAACAGGAGCTGAAGTAGTAGTCATGTTAAATTGTGAATTCATAAAATATTAATAAAAAACTGGCAACAAACTAACTGAAAAAGTATCTACCCCCCAAAAAAAAATATATATGCAGGTTGGAAATTAAGTATCAAATCTCCATGAAACAAAACAATCAAAAACAAGCAAGAAACATGTCCGACTCTCAGTGTGCCAGTCAAGAAAGTGAGGTACATGAAATGTAATATAGAGGGAGCCAGGTGCTACAGGAGTGTGTGTCATGCTCCAGTTGGTGGAGGGCAGTCGTATGTACTATGCATGCTAAATGAGCAGCTTGAACTGAGAGAGGTATAAAAGCTAGTGAGTCAAGTGAGAATAAAATTTTTTTAAAGCGTAAGAAGGCAGATGGAGATCATGAAAAGATTTTGTGAGAGAAGAGGTAAGTATCGTATTGGAAACAATTCTTAAATAAATCAAATATCACAATTTATCAATTGTTTCAGATGTCATCAAGTTCACCAAGCGACTTTAGTAATGCAATTAACCTTGTGTTAAAAAGACTACTTTTCAAAGCAGGAATTTACTGCTGAAATGTCTTGGTCCCATAAACGTTTATTACGTTTGAAACCTTAATCAAGAATGGTTAAAACCACCTTTTTACTAAAGGCTGGTCTGAGAAATGCACAATTTTATTTTTTCAAGTTCTAGTACTTTATATTTGATGTTCTTGATGGTGTTACATTCATTAATCAAAGACTTTCATTACCCATTTCATATATATATATATATATATAAAAGAGGAAGAAGAAGAGAACCATATCATTATTTAACTTACTAATTCTGATTGAGTTTGTAAAAACAAAATTACAAGAATTGCTGACCTTGTTGTTGATGATGATGATGGGGAATCATTAACTTCTTTGTCATCTTCTTGTACTGCTTCAAGTTGATGAGGAACAGCTTCAGACATATTCAGTGATGATAATACTTTATTGGTGTTCAAGAAATCAGAGTCCCCTCTATTCAGATCAAAAGTACAGCTGAAGTCAGAAAATATTCTTGTCATTTTTTCAATAGTATTACTACCAAGTACAAACCATACAGAAAACCATTATCTGTTTTACTGACTGATTTTTTCTGTCTCCCACTCAGAAAGGGTATATATTTTGATCAATTCAGAGGAGACTTTTTGTCTTTCTACTGAATTTACATAGACCATTGTTGCAAAGTTAGGGCTTGAAACCTGCCATTCCATTATATTTCAACCAATCTAGATTATACTTTATACAATGATATGTGAAACAGCCCCCCCCCCCCAGTCTCAAAATGGACAGGTTGAAGATTTGCTCCTTACTTGCTAGTTTACAGGACTCATAAAAAATATATAATATATATATATTTGCAGCATATGTAATGCAGAGTTCTTAATCTAGGGACATTGTCTGCTTTTGTAAGAATTACAAGTTGTTGTTTTTTAACTAAAAGTGTGTTAATTCACACAATGCATGAAACTGCACATCTCATGTCAAAGAAAAGGCATTATTTTCCATAAGATTACCCATAAAGTTTTGGTCATTGGGAATAAATCTATTTACACAGAAACTGACTGTCTTACATATTATAAGATCACAATTTAGTATGCTTCAATAAATCTTTTTTACAGAAAAGGCTGAAGTTGATACTGTGGTGTCTGTCCTTCTGAAATATAAATGTTGTAGTTTACACCCCCCCATTCCCCTGCTTTGAATACATTTTCTCTCTTAAAATCTACTGTATTCTGAGGATCACATTGATTAAGATGGATGTTGAGAAAAACATATTGCATTCACTTCCAAATGTTAGACTTTATAATTTGTTCAGTATTCAGAGAGATTATGATCAAACAGGCAAAAAAAAGAACAAAAAAAGCAAAAGATTTGACTGAAAGTGACTGTATTGGGTGAAGTGAAAAACTCCTGCTATTATATCTAGCCATGACCTAGATGTAAGAGACAATTTTTTCATACAGACAGAAGTTTTTGCATAATAAATGTGCAATTTAACATTAACAAAACCTCTGTTTAAAAAATCGAAAAATAACAGCCATATGAATTTTCAACAAATCTCAGAATAAACCAGCAAAAAATTTAAACAATCTTTTTCTTCAATAACTTGGTAGCTAAAACTTAAAAATGTAAGTAAATCTATATTGCACTGATAAGAGCAAAATGTATGTAATAATGTAAAATGAGCAGGTATACTAGCCCATAATAAACAAATCCACTATATAAATAGGTAAAAAAATAAAAACATTACATATAATTAACATGAGTTTTAATATTCAAAAATATTAAAGATATATACAAATAATTAGGATATATACATATCTATTAACACTTAATGTATGAAATAATTAATCATGACACAGTTACAGTTAATTTTAAGAATAAACAAGATTACGACACTTATGATATACAACATTGTTTATTGACAAAAAGGGGACATTGATAAACGTTTCAGAATTCTATCAGATTCCATCTTCAGTATCTACTGAAG